GTAGGGAAAGCGCAGGCCTTGCCTTTTGGGTTCGTTGGATCGCCCCCGAATACCCGCGATCGTCGTCCCGTACCTCTCTCTCTCTCTTTTTCTGATTACTGGCGATGTACGTATATGATACAGATACAAAAATAGGTGCACACAGCCAAACCGTATGTGCCACACACGAACATGGGAACAAACCCGCTGAAATAGACAGTGCTACCAATCCAGAAAAGGTAAACTGCAGTACAGAGCAACCACAAAAAATGCAGACAGAAACTGCACTACAGAGCGAACCACACATGCCGACAGAAGATGCAGCTGTGCAGGAACAGGGGAGATACACAGGTTTCCCATCGGGTTGTTGCACAACACGCGACATCATTGGCTTGGCCAGACACTCCGCAGCAAGCTGTTAGCCATCAGGCAGCGCCGATGCACTACCAGCCGTCAAAATGATTACCGGAAAGATTCAGCCTCCATAACTTTAAAACGCAAAAAAAAAAACAATTTCATTTTTGTGTTTTCGAACATGGAAATACAAGGTGAACCTCTCTTGCAAAAAAATTTAAACTTTTCCGGACGGAGCACTTGAACTTCTTTCTACAAACTTTTTAAGCTTTTACTTTTCTATACTTTTATTCTCACGTGAAATGCATTCCTTACAGTACTTTAACTTCTCGTTGTTTTCACTATGAACTTCTTTCAACAGATAAGAATTTTTTTAATACATAAAAACATATTTTAATTGGTATACATGAGAATTTTAAATCGTTCATCGAAATGTGGCACATAATATAACCAGTGGAAAGCTTATGAATAGCAGCAAGTTTGTCACGTAGACATGTGTGTTACAAATTCGTTGCCGTTTGAGAGCAGTTTTTAAAATGGCAAAACAACGTTGTTTTTTCAACATGTTAATGAATGACAGATGTCTCATACATGAATTTTGAACTATGCTAGGAGGAGCACGTGAACTTCTTGCAATGAAACTTTTAAGCTTTTAGTTTTTTATTTTTATATCCTTCTGATAGGAACCCTCTGAACGAGAGTTTAAGGTAATCGGAAATGACATTCGACAAGAGAAGATCACACGTTGTGATGTATAAGTGCTTCATCTGAGTCGTTGAACCCTGGATTGGATGATACAAGACATGTGCCATCAATGTAGATATCTAGTTGTGCCCTTGCTTGCACTTCATGTATTGGTCCATGTATGTTTTCCTGCTGCCGTCCATGACGAGTGTCGACATGGAGTGCGTCGCTCTCCAATTTTACTGATGGAAATCTGAAGAAGCTATATATCTTAGTCACGAAGCGCATTAAGATGCTGCAGATGTGATGTATCTCAATAGATAGGGTACAAAATGATGAATCGAAAGACCCAAGGGACAAGAAAATCAATTTGGAACTAAAGGGGTGTTT